GCCGCTGACTTCCCTTGTTTGAAGCAAAGGTTGAGGCCGTGCGCCTCTTCGTAGCCGGAACACTCATGCTTAAATCTACAAGTTGAGCCTCACTTACATTATCCCTCATTGAATGACCAACAGAAACCTTTCTAGTGCATGGCCGACGAGGTGGAGGCTGAGCCTTGCCGGCCCCGTACTGAAAGGGTGAGACCAATTTTTGTGCCATCAAGAGCTAGATCCATAAAGGCAGGTCCATTTGGTCCCACTGCATACCTGGGTTAGCTGAGACGCTGCCAAAATCGTTCACCGTAGTGCCACCAAGCTAAACCCCTATATGTCCTATATGCCTCCCATATAAAAACGCACCATATCCAAATAAAAAAACGGTTGAGAGCACAGCTCCAGATATTTCTCACCCAGTACACTGGCTTAAATGCAGAATGCCCGCATCTAATTACCAAAAGACTTTGGTATCTTGCAATACTTCCGTCTTTTCTCTTCCTCCTCCTTCTTTGCGTCCTTTTTATCTTCTTCCTTTAAATCAATGTATTCCTCATTTGAGGGAAGTACATAGATTTCCAGGAACTCACCTTTCCAGATTTTCTCCTTTAATTCAGGTTTTAAGTGACAACCGAGCGGACCGGCAAAGGATACATGTACATTTTACAGCGCAGCATCCAGGATGCTACCCGCCAGTTCAACTCGTTCATCACCGACGTCGATGCCTCGGCTGTGACTTCTGACTGCAACAACCGCAGAGCCCCTGCACCTGAACCCCCAGAACTTGGCTCCCAAACTTGCCCAAAACTCCCTGGCTGATCCGTCACCGTACTCTAATTATCTAGAAAAGTCTTAAGACCTGTGGGGATATTTATGGGATGATAAATATTAAAATAATATTTTCATAAAAATTATTAAAAAGTAATTTAATAATTTTTATTATATCAAAATGGATATTGAGAATTACCGACTATTTAATTCTCTAAGATCCTAGAGCAAGCCATCAGAGGATTTTTCATTAGCCAAAATTTTAACTTTCCTAAATAGATACACTATCTTATTTCAGAGCAAGTCAATATTTCTGGATAACATGTGCCATGCTAACCTGTTGGTAAATATTACCTTTTGATATATTGTTATTTCTATTCCACCTGCAGGACTGGAATTTTTATAACCATATATTCTTTAGTTAACTAAGATTTCTAATGATTGAAATCTGACAAGATTTATCCAGATATGTTGCTGCTAATAGTAAATTTTAATTCATTTAAATTAATTAAATAAAACCAGTATAATTACCAGTTATGTTGTAGATGTTTTTATCAGATGAGTAGATAGTCCCAGGAATCGAATGCAAGTATGATTGATGTATAGAGGTGTGCATGTAATAGAGAAAGTAGTGTTGGTTTGAAAGTAATAGTAACATTTTTAAGTGTCCATGAAGTGTTTCTTGAGTTGTGTCCAAGAGAGTTTGAATGTGTTCAAAGAGTGTGGCGGAACCAGCCTCGCCACTGGGCATTGGAGAAGACTGATTGCCAGCTGGGATGCATTGCCTGCTCTCCTGTACTGCTGAGGATTGCTATCAACTAGGTGGATTTGGCTATGGAGCTTGTGTAGTGCCCTCTGTTGGTAGCAACAGTAATATGCACTACCTGAATAGCAATACTGGTAATTTGCATATTCGTGTAGATTTGCATATCGCTAATTCTACATGCAGGAGAGACATTTTGTGTTAATTATGGTCTTCCCCACCCATTTATAAATATGTAATTATGTTATAATAAGTCACTGTATGTTGCCTGCTATGATTTGACTGTTTGTAATTTTATTGAGTTTTCACAGCAATATTAATGTACTGACCATATTGCTAGTCCCAAATAAAATAAAGTTTTAGACAGTTCTACTTCACCCTCAATTAGGAGTGCCATCTCCTATTGGGGGAATCTGCTACAAGGGACTGCTATACTCTCTTGCTATATTCACTGCTAAGCTCTTGTAAGAGCTTGCTCCTGTCCTGCTCTCTTAAGGAGTCTACGGTGGTTATGGTGTCGGCTGGAGTGCTTGGAGCCCTCAGGAAGCACTAGGAGCATCCTTCAACGGATGTACACAGTCGGGGTGCCAGGTTATCCGTTACAAAGAGTATAAGTCTTTGAATGTCAGATTTGAGAGTCCCAGAGAGTCTGAATGTGTGTATCCTGAATGCTCCTCTCTTCCCTTTGTTCTTACTTTTTGATGGGCCAAACTCTCTGCACGTTATTAGTTGATCGGACGAATAGGGGACTGTAGGTGTGTCTACCTTACAGACTATCATCTAGTTTTTGGTCAGTAGATGGCGCAATTACATCACCAAAATTTCTTGTCCTGGAATGGGTTGACTTCATTTGATGATGATTTCGACGTCATTCCTTTATCTATTTTATGACTCCATAACTCACAAGACCTGTCACATGAAAGCTTTTCTTTCTCTCTTACCCAGACAGAGAGTTGGGCATATACCTTTAAATCTAATCTGACATGTCTAAACCTTAATTTCACCCCTTGCTTTAGATTTAGAAAGTAAAATTAATTACTAAGTGTTATCTGTCACTGTTATCTGATTTTTGTGTCTGTATTTAAAATTATTTCTATTCCATTAACATTAAGAAGAATATTCCATCCCCCTTCTCTGTTAGACTTATTGCCTTGTTTACATAACGCATTCCTTAGCTTAGACTTGAATGACTAGAGTTACAGATAGAAAGAAATTCTAACTCTGTCTTGCCTGAAAATACCAATATGGAGTCAGCTCTGGTTTGAGTGTGACTGGCAATATACACTATTCATTTCTGTCTTAGCACAAAATGTCTGCCGATATAAATATACTGACAGACCCTGTAATAGATCACTAGAACGATCAGCAGAAGAGGACTCACCAGCCGAACCCCTGGCCGGTAACGTTTGTGGGGCTGCAGTCCTGTCTCCACCCTCCATGGACCCAGGAGTCAACGCCAACATTAAGGGACCCATTTCCTGTACCCATGCCCGGTCCGTGGAAGGACGCACCTGCGATCTGCAAGGAGGTGAAAACATGGGTAGGGAATCTATCTGGCTCCTGACCTGCCCACCTTCCCAATGAGTACCTCTACTCAAGATATCCGAGCCTCCTGTTAGGGGAGCTCCTGCTGTCAGACCTGGAATCACTCCCCCTATCTAACTACAAATTAGCTGACTGGGACAGCCGTGCTCTCCCTGACTGCTCCCTTAAGGAACACCTGTAACTGCTGCGCAGTCTGCCTGATGACCTGAGCTGAGAACGCCAGCCGCTCCTAGATCTGCGCTCAGCATGCCTGCCAGCCTCCCCTTGGGAAAGCATGCTAGGAGATCTGGCGTTACGGTCCTGGAAGCAGCACGATCCGCCCACGCGTACGCGGTCAGCCCTAATGGGAGTTGTAGGGTGCCATGGAGGGGACCCACTGCTGCTGTCTCTGGCCTGTTCTTCATGCCTAACCGGACACCTTCACAGTCTCAGGGGCCATTCACTACTGCGTACAGTCCTAATGGGGTACTCCACCACCTGCTCAGAGATTTATGGCACATAACAGTGTTACAATGTCACTATTGGTATATTTTTTTAAATATCAATGTCCTACTTGTACTTATAAGCCTATAACTTGCAAAAAAGCTAAGAACATGTTAACATTGGGTATTTCTAAACTCAAGACAAAATTTTGAAACTATTTAGCACAGGTGTTTTTTGGCGGTTGTAGATGCGTAACAGATTTTGGGGGTCAAAGTTCGAAAACGTGTGCTTTTTTATTTTTCA